GTTCTCTTTATCTTATAATGTGTTTAGAAAAATGTCATTTAGGGTCTTAACTTTACTGAGGTAATATCTTGTTTTTGCATGTCAGATTATTTGAGGAGGTGGAAGGATTTGGTTTGTGGTTTGTGGTAATATCTTCTCATTACACTCAGTTCCATTTGTTTTCTTATTAACAGCTGTAGTGGTTGTCAATGTCATTGTGGTGTTGTTTGTTTAAAGGTATTAAAATGACATATGTGTTTTGTAATGTGTTGAGAAGTTTTGCAACCCGTGTTGGTTAAGGTGTATATTTTGGATTTTATGATTTATGTTTTATAATGGGTTTGTGCTATGCATGATATTAGTCTTTACATTGGTTTTTCGGAATTGTTTTCCTTCTTCATTTGTGGTATTTGTTATTATCACAAAGGTCTCCTCCTTCATTTGTGGTATTTGTTATTATCACAAAGGTATGCTTTAGACAGTTGATATTGAGAGGTATGAAAAATGAATTCAAATTTTATTAAGTTTGTTCAAATACCATTCTCAAACATTCTTAAATATTGATGACCAATGATCATTTTTCTTATGTAGATCCAAACTCTTTTTAATGGCTTATTTAGTTAAGATTGTGAATTTCAGCTTTTGGGCAAGATTTCTTGTAATTATGTTGTCGAAAATTGTTTGTTTTTGGTCTATATATAGTTTTATATTTAAATTTTCTTGGTTTTGGCATCTTCTTGACCATTGGCATTTCATTGTTTTGTTTCTTTTGTAAAGGAAGAGGATTGATGAGTCTGAGAAGATCAAGCAACAATTGGCAGAGTGTTTGGGAATTCCACGATATTAAATCGCAGACTCACAGTCCCTATCCACAGGTGTTAAAGATCATAACTACAAAACTTGGAATTACAAAAGGCAAATACATGCATCTTTTTTAGTCGAAACCCAGTCTTAGAGTGGGGAAATAATTACTACAAAACTTGGGTTTACCAAGGGCAAGAATATATGGAGCTTGGCCTCTAGTCTTTGAGTGAAGAGTTCTTCACTCGTTTATATTCACTATTTTTGGATATGTTATGTGTACTTGAATAACTAGTATGCTCGTGTACTTTTGAATGAAAGAAACTTTTATTCATGTCATTTTCTATTGATCTATTTACCTAAATTTATTGTTTTTCAAAATTACAATATGTTAATGAAAAAAAGGTTAATATTATCACAAAACAGAATATAAATTAAATAATTAAAAACACTTAAAATATACAAATTTTAGTGACCAACTAAGTAAGCTTTAGCGACGAAATCAGGTAGTCACCGAAACCTATCAGCGATGAACAACCTATTTGGTGGCCCAATCATTCCTCAGTTCGCGGAAAATTTTGGTATTTTCGCGGGAACATATCTTTTTAGGCGACCAACTCTTACTGTAAACGCGACGAAACAAATTGGTCGCGTAAAGGTTTTGGCGACGAAAACATTTTCGTCGCCTTTTGTCTCTCGGTACTTTCAGCCACGAGCCTTAGGCGACCAAATTGGCGACGAAATAATTTCGTCGCTAAAGGGTTTTGGCGACGAAATGACAGCTTTTAGCGACCAAACGTGGTGGTCGCCAAAAGGGTTTTTCCTTGTAGTG